TTTCATTTTGTAATGAATGACTAATTTAATTATGTATTTCTTTTGCGCACTTTTTGCGGTTCAGGACCTCAGTGGTCAAATCCGCTAATAAAGCTCTTTTTCATTCATTCATTCATTCATTCAACAAATTCTAATCTCGATGAATTGACAAAGTAATAAATTTGAGACAAAAAATGTAAAACATCGATAGGTTTATCATAGTGCCCAAAAGACGAAAGCTTTTGCCGTTAGGCTTTTACTTGAATGTAATGAGAGATATTTGAATTAAAATCAATACTATGTTATGCTAAAGAACAACTTTCTATTGACGGAAAAATATCAGTATAGTCTCTTCAAAATAAATTCAAAATCAAAAGTAGACAATTCATACACATTTCGTCATTTTTTCAATAATTTATTATTCTGTAAGAAAAATCTTGTTCATTTTATATTAAAAACAATAAAATTATATTGATGTTTGTTCCTCATTATTATCATCAAAACCAAAAATAAGAGCTTTTTGATAAGTATTGAATTTATTGATTGGTATTTTAGGTAAATCAGTATTGAGGCCACCTAAAAAAGATATTTTCAACGATTTAATTTCTCAAAGAATTTTTTGCTTGTAAAACTTTACCTCCTAAAACAAGTTCTGTACTCCAATGTGTTAAAGTACAATTCTTTTCTAGCATTTGTTTTCGTTTTTCTCGAAATTCATCAACTGTTTGACCACATACAAAAGAAATTGGACTCATGCAAACATAAATAGCGATACGTAAGAGATCGACAGGTTCATTTTTATTTCGTTCTTCAGAAGCAGTTGCCGGTGAATTACAATGGATTGTACGACTATCCCAAAGGATCAGATCACCTGCTCGGCAATGTACGAGTTTACCAAGCGTTTTACCTTGATTCATAATTGAATGATCATCAGAAACTTTGACAAAGTCATTGGCATTTTTTGTCACATCGGACAATTCAGTAAAACGTAAATGTGTTCGTGGATAAACAATAAGACCACCCGTTTTTTCATTTTGATCAGTTAATGAAACCAAACCTTGAATGCAACATCGGTCGGGTTTTAATTTTGGATTTTGATCGACATGATTCCAACCACCAGATGTTTTCCATGTTGGATTGTAACGCCAATCACGAAATATACCACATCCATCGAAGGAAACCAGTAACTGCTGATCATTCCACAGTTGAGCAAAGACTTTTTTAACTTTTCGATTCGATCGAACATTCCACAGAAAATCGGATTGACCAATACCATATCCACTAATGACACCATGAGTGCTGAAACTTGGCCTAATAAGGTTAGACAAGATCAAATTTTTACATTTAATATGAGTATTAGTATTTGTTTTCTTACCATCCATTTGACCATGTGTCAGGATCATTTCGTTGAATGGTACCATCGCCAACATTTTCAAGAAATTTCCATAGTAAATCTTTGTTTTCAGTGATTTCATCTTGATTCATGATATCACTGATAACAACATAGCCGTTCTCCATCAAATAAGCCAGACCATCATTTAATGTATTATCGTTCGTCACTGAAAAGCGTGGTGTTGGTGTCGTGTAATCGATTTGAGTACTGATATTTGCAGAAGTTTTGTTTAATTCACTCATATCGAGTATTGGAGTGTATTTGCTAGCACCTGTATCCCATTAATTTGTGCTACTGCTCTCTTATATACTTTTAATAATAGTGTCACTTCCTTAAACTAAATTTCGCAATGCTGTTGATGACCAAAAAAAGTATTTTGTAAGAACAATGACTCATGATTGTATGCTTATGCCTCGCGGTAATTTTTTCGTTCTGACTTGCGTCTTTTGCAAAATAATAACCACTGTATTAAATATTTCTTTTGTATTGGTAAACATTGTCATTGGGTAAATATTATTTTCTTCTTTCTGGTTTAGTTCTGTCTTTAGTCGATGAAGCTACCGTCATTTTTTATTTATATCGTCTATTCTCATTTATTTTCTGTAGTAAGATGAGTTTTTGTTTTTTTTTAATATTTTTAATTAAGTAATCTTTGTGCTTCATCATGAATAAATTACTTTTTCTAATGCTTAAAAATGAAAAATATCAGTAATGGAAAGTTCGTTCTTAAAGAAAGACTCATTGATGAATCTGAAACATTCGTAACAAAGACAAATGTGTCCGATCTATGATGTAAATACATCCTTGAACAAAAGCCCTTTCCAC